ATATTTCATCTAGAGTTGTTATATTAAACATTTCAGACTAAGTTACTACCTTGTGAGCACAATAAGCATTTGTAAACCTACTTTTTTAGGATATAACATTAGTTGTCGATACTTATAATGCAGTGATAAAGTACAATATTATATCCTAAAACGGTTTTATAAATGCTTATTGTGCTTACAAGGCAGTAACTTAGTCTGAAATGTTTAATATAACAACTCTAGATGAAATCTATAGGTGAACAGATCTGGTTCACTATTTGGCAAGACATTACTCCGCTTTGTCTCTCTGTCACCCTTAATTAATGCATAATAAGCAGTTGTTAATGATTTATAAAGTGTATATAGAGAAATTAATAATGTATTTATTAACTATTTATTAGCCGTCTATAAGTGGAGTCTTATTGTAAAGTGGTACCAGTTTTTCTACCTGGATTATTGAGCATGCATCAGGATGTGCTGTAAAGCAAAGCTCCAGTTCAGAAAAAAGTCTCTCCTGGCCCAAACAGATCAACGTCTCACTTTTTATTTTCTGGGTTCTGGAGGCAGATGCTCACTTGGACTACCACTGAAAGTCTAAGATGACATAAATAGTTAATGAGAAATCAATTCTACGGTGGCTTGTGGGTTCCTTTTACTCTTTCCATTTGCCGTTTCACGGGTCTGAAGTTGGTAAAATCACAATTTCCTGAGCTTAAACATGCCTGACACGAGCTAAATTAGGTAGATAATGACGCCGTGCCTCGGCTCTGCTCTTCTTTCAGCTGTATCTGGGCGTCGTGCTGGCAGCTGTGGTGATCATCACCGGTTGTTTCTCCTACTTCCAAGAAGCCAAGAGCTCTCGAATCATGGACTCCTTCAAGAAAATGGTGCCGCAGGTACAGCAGATGCATTACTAGGTGGTGTGTGTAGTCTCAGAGCTTTCTAAATCAATAAGCCATCCCTCAAGTAGGGCTTACACACTCACTTGAGTGGAAATCTAATAAGCTTGCACAAAGGAAAATAAATGTTTGAGCCAACTCTGGATTGTGAGTGTGTTTGCATAAAAACTCCCTCTTGTTATCCACCTCCAGCTCTTCGATTACCTAATTCTTTAATCTATTTAGACTCTTTTCACTTTCTTCTTGTGTCTATTTTTCCTATGCCTTCCCTTTTTCCTAGATCGACTTTTAACATAGCACTACTCTTTTCTCCATCTCTCTCCTCGTTTTACCACATCTCATCCTGATAGTGTTTTTTCGTCTCTTTGCCTTTTTCCCAGCAAGCCATGGTGATCCGGGAGGGAGAGAAGATGCAGATCAATGCAGAACTTGTGGTGTTGGGAGATCTGGTGGAGATTAAAGGGGGAGACCGAATTCCAGCTGACCTTCGAGTGATCTCATCCAGCGGGTGCAAGGTAGAGGATGGGTGTAGGCCAAAGCCTGGTTGGCTTTGAGGCCTCAGCAGGATCATAGGCTAAAGTGGGGTGTTAGCATACCGCGCAGGTGAGGCAAGGATGTCACCGCGCGGAGCTGGTTTCACTCTCCTAACAAGTAGTTTCAGCAAAAGTTTGATTTTACAATTTCTCAGATCAGTCAGTTGAAGGGAGTAAAGCACAGATGGTCCAGCCAATCAGCAGCCAAGAAGTTTCTTCAAAGTGGCGACCATTTTCCAAATAGTTTACTGAGACGACATCCAAGATGGACCATCTGTCATTTCCGTTATGAGGTCAGAAGACACAGATAGGATGTTTGAAAAAAAATCACAAGAGTGAATAAAAACAAAAGTAGTAAAACAACGAGGACCGGAAGAAAACAAGTAATCCCCACTAACTTTAAAAATAGCACTAATTTCTTCACATCAAGCAACAGAACACCAAGCTGGTTTGTCTTGGGTTTTAATGCCAGACCACAGTCTTTATGTGTTCTCATTAAAGGAGCTCAGATCCCAGAAATATAAATACACTTGACTGGCTAACCACCACTCAGGCTGCGCTAATGAGGGAAGAATCCTTCCATCCTGGTAGGTGCTACATCCTTAGTTACTGCAGCAAACCATGGATATCTGAAGAAGAAAAAACTCAAGCAAAAAGGCCAATGTTTTACAATTAATTGTTAGAGATGTCGGAACTTGAACTTTAAAGAATATGGTAATACATGTACATATATTTTTTTTGGTTTGGAAACACTAGTCTAATACATGGAACGATTATACCAGGGGCCATTGCTCTCTCTAGACAAGACTGTTAGTGGAAAAAACGCTAATTTATTCAATTTCAATTCAATTCAGTTTATTTATATAGCGCCTTTGAATTTAACTTCATCGCAGAACTCTCATCTTGAGCAAGCACGAAGGCGACAGTGGAAAGGAAAAACTCCCTCATGAGGATGAAACCTTTAGCAGAATCAGGCTCAGGACCAGCGGCCATCTGCTTCGACCAGCTAGGTTTGGTAGGAACAGATACACAATGGCAGGTCAAGAATCGCATGTTAAGATAGAAATAGTATCAAATGAAAACTATGAGATTTTTGTTAATGAAAAGTGCGTTACAAATTAAATTCATTATTATTATTATTATTTAACAATTCATTTAAGGAAATGAGGTTAATTTATCCTCTAGTAGTCTAAGCTTAAGACAGCATAACAAGCCAACACTAACTATAGGATTTATCAAAAAGGAAAGTCTTAAGCCCAGTCTTAAAACTGGACGATCTGTCAGCCTCACAGACAGAAACTGGAAGTTGGTTCCACAAGAAAGGAGCCTGATAACTGAAAGATCTTCCTCCCATTCTTCTTTTAGAAACTCTAGGAACCGCGAGTAAGCCTGCAGTCAGAGAGTGAAGTGCTCCGTTAGGAAAATATGGAACAAATCTACAATTTGTAATATGTAACTAATCTACAAAACTTGTTTTTTCCACTTTTATGAATAAAATCTAAATACTAAATTGTGAATTAGTGTATAGGTTAGACAACAGCTCATATATGTAAATAAATCTATGTATAAAGTAATAATCTATGTATATATGTGTCGTCTATATCTAAATACAGAAGTGCATCTTGAGTAAGGCCTAAATATGTTCAGAAATATCAGAAAAAAATATGTCATGTAAGGTGAAGTTAGGTCAACACAGTGGCTCAGTTGGTAGAGCTGTTGCCTCTCAGTGAGAAGGTCACAGATTCAAATCCCAGCCAGGGGACCTTTCTCAGTGTTCTCTCCGTGCATACGTGGGTTTTCTCCGGGTACTCTGGTTTCCTCCCACAGACCAAAAACGCATGTTAGGCTGATTAGTAACCCTAAATTGTCCCTAGTTTGTCTCATTTGTTATGTGTTCCTGTGATGGACCGAAGACATATTCAGGGTGTCCCCCGTCTCTTAGTGACTGCTGGACATGCGCACCAGTGAACCCCATGACCCGTAAAGGAAGAAAGATGGATGGATGGAAGTTGAAGTTATTAGTATAAATGCAGCTAAGTACAGACACTTGTTAGACTAAATTGACATAACCAGTAAAGTATTTAGTTACTTTAAAAGCAATTATGTACCCATCTGGCTAGAATGATTTCAGTACTTTGTAATTTTAGCACGTGGCGGTAGCCTGCCGTGTTTCTTTTGCGCCAGCTAACGGTTGTCCAGCATGGTGGGAGGTTCATTACAGATTACCCCTGTCCCCATTTTTCACCATATGCACATTGTTCTTTGAAATAAATAATTTTTTTTCTACGTGTTTCTGAAATGTAGGCAGCAGAGCTGTTGAACCACTTTCTCAGAGAGTGATTGTTAGGGACTGAAGTTTGACCAAATGTATTAAAAGAACCATGCAAGGAGAAAGCTGTTGCCTTAGATGAACGCCACCCTCAAAGACAACTCCATGTAACGTCCTTACAGCAACATGAACGAACCCTCTCTAACATCAACACACAAACAATTCATACGTTCCAATTAGAATTAAGCTGAAGAGGGATTTAACAGACGCACTTATTGTTTTGGCATGTTTAGCTGACATGTGTGCAACTGTGTAAATGGATACATGTGAAGGTTTCTTACTGACACGTGTAGGCTTATAAAGTTTAACATAGAAAGACTCTGACGTATTTTTCTTTTTAATCTGTGTTTCATACCTGCTAATGTCTTAACTGAAACATCTACTTACTAATATAATTTTATTAATTTTTGCAGATATTTATACCCTAAAATACAAACAAATTGTACCATATTTTTAGGACTATAAGGCGCACGGGATTGCAGTATAAAGAACATTAAGCGTTTTGACAGATTTTTGAGCGCTGTGTACCACATAAAATCGGTTCGAGGTCAGTAAGCACAACCAGAATTAACACATAAGGTGCACCAAATTATAAGGCTCACTGTTAATTTGTGAGAAAATTACGAGATTCAGAAAGATTAGGAGATTCTTTATTGTCATTCGCATTATGTACACAGGGTCCCAGTTACATCCAACAATAAAATGTAAAAGAAAAACAGTAATAAGATCATAAAAACAATACGTTGAACAGCAGCACGAACATGAGTCTGTGTGAGCAGATGAGTATGAATGAACACAGCAACATGAAACAGATCAGCAGCAACATGAAACAGATCAGCAGCAACATGATGTGATTTTTCACAGTGATTATTCTGGTTAGGGATTCATGAGTCTAACAGCTTTAGTGTAGAAGCTGTTCCTCAGTCTAGTGGTTCTACACTTAATGCTCCTTAACCTCTATCCTGAGGGAAGCGGGGCAAAAAGTGCGTGCGCTGGGTGAGTGGGGTCATTCATGATGCAGGTGGCCCTCTGCATCTCGAGATGTCTGTGATGATGGGGATACTGATTCCAACAGACTTCTGTGCAGCCTTCACCACTTTCTGCAAAGCTGTTCTTCCTGCAGCTGTGCAGCCTCCATGCCACACGTTGATGCTGGAGCACAGGAAGGATTTAAAGTGTGCCTTACAGTCGAAAAAATACAGTAATTAAGTTTAATCTGGTGAATTGTTGAATGGAAACAAATTTCAGCCGCCAGTATCTTTTAATCTAAAAACATCTTGTAACTCACTCATTGTTATTGAGACACTGACAGACATCTATGAAACATATCTAGGATCAGACACTCACTTTTCATACATTTCATTCTCGAACAATAAAATTACATTTTTGTCATGAAGTGCCTGTAAGGAGCTCACTTTTCTCATTTTTCTGTCAAACTAATCTTTCTTTGATTCACAAAGGAAGATTTCCTTCTGTTTTTTATTATTTTTCTGCCAACGATCAATACTAAGTTTTACATTCAGGTCTGTTGTTAGAGAAGCACATCCCATAATGCCTTTTCATCATCCTGAAATTGCTTTAAGCCACCAGATAGTCAAACTTAAGCATCATTTTTCAGAGGTTATTATGATTTTCTTTCAAGAGTTTAATCAAATATTGAGTTATAATTCTGTTCACGCTGATGAGTTCAAAAAAGGACATTGTATTACATTATTTATTATCTTCAGTCTTTATTATCTCTCTGGTATATTGAATATTTTTTAAATTGTCACAATTTGAACGAAATGTTTTGAAGCATTGTAATGAGTCATGATGATTACTGCTATAAACGTCCACGTCTACAGATAAAATACAGTTTTGACATTGATTGATACTTTATACACTTGTTGCTGTAACAAGTGCCAATTTATTAATTTCCATTCAGTCAATCTCACCTTTTCTCTCTCCCTGGATAACATTTTACTTTTGTCTTTCCCTGTGAAGGTGGACAACTCCTCTCTGACGGGAGAATCGGAGCCTCAGACTCGCTCCCCGGAGCTAACGCACGAGAATCCTCTAGAGACCCGCAACATCTGTTTCTTTTCAACCAACTGTGTCGAGGGTCAGTAGGCCAAATCTGGCCAAGATTGCCTCTTATCTCCACTGGAAGTCTGTCGTTTAGCCATCTGGAGCTAAACGTTGTTTTGATGTAGTGCCCAACCGTGAATCTGTTTCAGTGCACTAATAATCTGGTCCTCCGTCACTTCATCCTATATTGTGTAGACGCTGGTCATAAAAGGCAAGAGGAGATGGAATTAGTATGTACATGCAGAATTGAGCCGGTGGGACTTTAATATTACTGCTTTCTGTCAGTCATCAAAAACCAATACCATTATCACTGCATTGGGATTTGATGTAGCAATCTGTATTTTTATCATGGATGAAAGTCAGCTCCTCCAAGTCCAAGGGCGGACAATGGTTTGCCACCAACAGGTGAAATACGTCTTCCAGGTCAGGGATGAGTCTCTGCCTCAAGCACAAGTGTTAAGTGGCTCAGACTCTTGTTTGAGTGATGGTAGGATGGAGTGGGAGATGGGTCAATAAATCAGGGCATCTATTGTAATGAAGAGGGTGTTGCTTTGGTCTGAAGAAAAAGCTGAGCTCAAATTTAAATCTTTATTTACTGGTTCATCTACATTCCAACACTCACCTATTGGCATCCGGTATAGATATAACTTTAAGAACGAATAGCTAAAATAAGCTTCCTCCTTTGGGTGGCTGGTCTCAGCCTTAGAGATAAAGGGTGCATTCACACTAGCCCTGTTTAGTCCGCATCAATCCAACTCTGGTCCATTTGCCTAGAAAGTCCGGTTCATTTGGGGAGATGTGAATGCGCAATCAAACTCTGATACGGACCAAAAAAGTGAACTCTGGTCCACCTAGGTTGTTTTCACACCTGATAATCCGGTAGACTCGGTTCGGTTGGGGACCAATATTCATAACATTCTGTTTACATTTGAGCTGGTGCGTTTGCATTCACACTGCACTGTGCAGTCGAGTCAACCTGTTGAACCAACCTGTTCCCCCACTCGCCTGTGGTGGCGCTGCACCAAGAACTACTGAAAGAAACGACACATAAACCTCAGAAGAAGACACTACTTCTTTGTCTTCTGGAAAGAAAAAAAACTGAGTCATGTCAAGTTTTATCGGTTTTAGGAGTTATATTTTGTCATTTTTCAACAATGGACTCAGCATGAGTGGAAGATGAGGCAGAAGACCATGGAGAATGTTGTTTTTCACACAAGACAGCTGACGGCTCCATATGAGGTAAGAGAAATGTGTGTTTGTTTGCCCTGCGCTGTACTCCACTTCCTGCTAGTTTTTAGTTTTAGTTTTTCCTGTGACTTATTTGCAGTATGATAAATGGTAGGAGCATAATACACGCTCCCAATATTTTGTTGGTCTTTTTTTTTGTTGTAAATAATTACTTTTTTTTGCGGTTTTATTTATTTATTTATTTTTGTATCTTGCGATCTATGACGTCATCAAATACTCGAGTTCTACTCGGGTTTTATTATGTTAATGTCGAGTTTAAAAATTATATACTCGTTCAACCCCTACTTCCTGCTTGTGGAGCAGTGCTCGTTTTGCTACATTCACACTGTACAAGAACCGCGCTAGAGTTTTCTTCTATCGGACCGAGACCTAGGTTTTAGACCTGGCCAGAGTTCACCTTTTTCTTCCATGACAGAGTTCGATGGCGCATTCACACCTCCCCAAACGAACCGGACTTCCTAGGCAAACGGGCTAGAGTTCAGGACAACAGGGCTGGTGTGAATGCACCCCTAGAAATCTAGGTCTTGGTTTGGTTGAAGTGAACTCTGGCGTGGTTCGAATACAGTGTGAATGCAAGCAGACCGGAGACCGCTCCAAAAGCAGGAAGTGGACTACAGCGCAGGGCAAACAAACCCGCATTTCTCTTACCTCATACAAAGCCGTCAGGTGCCTTGTGTGAAAAACATTATCCGTGGTCTTCTGCCTCATCTTCCACTCATGCTGAGTCCATTGTTGAAAAATGACAAAACAGAAATCTTAAAACTGCTAAAATTTGACGCCACTACGTTTCTGTTTTTAGTTCCTGAAGAAGTGTCTTCTTCAGAGGTTTTTGTGTCGTTTCCTTCAGTAGTTCTTGGTGCAGTGCCACCACAGGCGACAGGGGGGAACAGGTTGGCTCGATTGAAAGTGCAGTGTGAATGTGAACAGCACCAGCTGAAAATGTAAATAAGTGTTCTGAGTATTGGTCCCCAATAGAACCGAGTCTAGCAGACTATCAGGTGTGAAAACACCCAAAGAGAGAAACTCCATCATCCAATGAGAGCTCAGAGCCGCTGCTCCTCTGCATCAAATGGTGAGGTGCTGTGGGCAACTCATTAGGATACTTTCTGGGTGCCTCATTCTGGAGGGTTTTCGGGCACGTTCCACTTGTAAGACCCAGGGCTTATCCATAATTTGCTGAATATGCATCCTCTCAGGGCTGGGAACTCTATAGGATTCTCCAGGAGGAGCTGGAGTCTCTTTGGAAAGAGGGATGTCTGGGTTTCCTTCCTGGACCTGTTGCCTCCATGACCTGATCTGCTAATAAGCATCGGAAAACAGACGGATAGATACACTTTTAGATTTACATTCAAATTTTACTGAAACCAAAGTAAAAAGTTCAGGTATTTTAGGAACTCTTTTGTGTATCGCACAAGCAGTTATACTGTAACTAATGTCTTATTGTTAAATAGAGCTGCCACTGTTGAAACTTTCACTTCATGTTGAGGATTTCAGGCAACTTTTAACCTTTAAAAAAAAAACAAATACATAGTGTGTCTTTAGAGTTTATTAGAATCTAGGTAGTGAAAAGAAGTGCATCAAAGATTAGAGTTTAGATTAGAGAGAAAAGTTCTGTGTGCGCATATTTTTCCGACATGCTAGCATAATATCTTATCAACCAGTATTATATAAAAGCTGTAGTTTTAAATTTGTCATGTTTGCCAATTAGAACTGGTTCTCAAACATTTCACTTGGTAAAATAAAGGTCAAATAAAAAAATAAAATAAAAAAGTTTCTGTACATCTACGACTGATTAGTTTTTTCAATCAGCCCAATTCAAGATGGCTACCACAAGTCATTGTCCTTAGAAATAAAGAGGAAAGAAAATGTTTATACATCTGTAAATTTTACAGATATTAAGCTAAAGTTTGATGTGGTTGTAGATGAGTTTTTCCCAGCACAGTCCCTGACAGCTACTGGCTAAAACTGATTTTTTCTGGGTCTATAAAGCTGATAAAGTACCCAGTCATGATCAAATCATAATTTTAGTCACATTTTGCCCTCATAAACTCGGGGTTTTACTGTGGGTCTGTCTGTTGGTTTTATTGGCTAGCATTCAACTATAATTACAATTGAATTACGACTTTTTAAACTATTTTTTAATGAGTTTGCTGAAAAATAGAAAATCTGAATTTCCACAAATTGCATGAGAACAAAAATAAAGAAAAAAAGAGATTTCACTGAAATGGGGTAGTCAGTGTTATTTACCTCAGCTGTAAGGTGTTTTAATGTTAGGCCAAATAGGTGGATTTCAGCTAATAAAGTAATCACTTAAAATCTGCTGGTAGCACAGTCTGTGGTTTGATCGTTTGTCTATAAAGCAATCCATATTCTTTTCTCCATCTCTCAGACCAGCGTCTGTTCGGTCCACCCATCCATCAGTTTCTGTCCAGCACCTATAATTCACCTTCATCTATCACTGCTCCACATTCGGCCATCATCTTCCCATCTGACCTCCTTCCTATTTACTGACTTCACTACTCAGTTCCTGCCGTGCCTCCTCGCTGTTTTTCTCCCATTTGCGTCTCACTCTGAGGAGCATCAGGTCACCTGTCAGCTGTCTGAAAGCTGGACATAATGCCATGTGATCTGGAATGACATCACATTTAAAGAGGAAAAATAGGAACCGTTTGATCAATATAAGGACTACCTTCATGGTAGAACTTCTGCACGGATGAATTATCTTTTCATTCATTCATTCAACCTTTATTTAGACACACTGAGCCTAGAAGACTCATTTACAAGTGAGATCTGTTTGGACAGACAAAAAAGTAGTGAAACTGGACACATGTAGGAATTGGAGGCGAAAAAATTCCTATCAGGCTCTTTCTTCTTGGCTGAGAAGAAAAACTCTAATATTAAAAAACACCTCACACAAACAAGCACATAGTGACATAGACATTCCGCAGAGGGGGGAATGACGAGAGCGGTGAGCAATGTCCATGGACGCTCTCGAGGGCACTGTAAGAGTTCTGATAAGGATGGAATAATCAGCCAGTTCCCTTCGGTGAAATCCGTAAACATTCTCGAGGGATGTCAGGGAATGGCCAAGGATAACGCCTATGAGAATCCTGAAACGATGACACAATGTTTATTCAACTGGTTTCCTCTGGTTATTAGTTGGAAATTCCTCGGGTGGGTGTGGGGTTGGGTGTGTGTGTATGTGTGTGGGGGGGAGCGTCAGATCACATGTTCTCCAGGCAAATTCAGATAAGGTGGCCTTCAAGGCCAGCCAGGGGAGCCAAATTCAGATAAAAACAGTTGTTTTGGGGACAGGCAGAACTTAATGACATCTACCTTGAGTCTGTGTTGGTCCAAACGGTTCCGAAATGTCCAATCTCCGTAGCCACAACGATGGAACGTGCCTGAGTAAAATCCCAAAGATCTGATCCATTCTGCCCAAAGCATTTGAGACTGGGTACTCGAGGCACGAACCCAGTCATCATAAAGGCCAGCAGCGTGATTGGGTCCCAATTTGCTGCCGATGACTTCCTTGATTGTAGATAAAACCAGCAACCAGCCGAATCCAAAAAGCAGGAACCAGTTATCGTAAATATGATTAAATATGCTTCCTTAAAAGCCACAAATGGCAGCAGAGATAGACACATCATCAAGTCTTCCAAGTCGATGAGATATCCAACTGCATGCGTGCCAACAGGGCAAATCGGCTCGCATAAAACCTCTTCTCTTCGAAGAAATGTTATAAATTGTGTTGAGGGACCAACTGATCCAATTAAGTCTGTAATTATGGTTTGAAAGATATGCAAGAGAGGCTCAGAAGCAGTTTCACAGACAGACAGAGCAGCAAAGCGGAGAGGGAGGGGAGGGGAAAAGCCTCCGACCTCGGCAAGAGCAAGTGATGATTGAATCTGAAGATTCATTGGGATAAATTCATATGGGTGAAATGTTGTAGTTTGTTGGTCATTGAAAGTAGTTTTTTGCTCTTTAACATTAAATCTCACCCTCCGTCAGGCACGGCCCGTGGTATTGTCATAGCCACCGGTGACCAGACAGTGATGGGTCGCATCGCCACCCTGGCATCTGAGCTGGAGGTCCGCCAGACACCCATCAGCATTGAGATTGAGTACTTCATCCAGCTCATCACCGGCGTGGCCGTCTTCCTGGGTTTGTCCTTTTTCATTCTGTCTCTCATCCTGGGCTACTCCTGGCTCGAGGCTGTCATCTTCCTCATCGGCATCATAGTGGCCAACGTGCCCGAGGGGCTCCTGGCTACTGTCACTGTAAGTAAACACGCAACTTCTTTTTGTCAAACACATATATTCAAGTTGTTTCACAACATTTAAAAGAATGGTTAGGATTATTTTTAACATCACAGCTGTTTGTGGTGTCTTTTTCAGGACAACAATATTCACGTCAACATAGAGAAATTACCTTTTCTACAAAAAAACTATGAGAATGAACTTGAAACTGAGTCAATAAATCTCAAATAAGAACATTAGCTAACAGCTAAAAGGACATAATTACTAGCTAAAAGCTAAAAAGTAGCATAATTCTAGCTTAAAGTAAAAGTAGCAAATACTAGCGGAAAGTAGCAAAGCACTAGCTCAATGCTAAAGCAGCTATAGGCCTAATGCTATCTAAAAAAAATTTAAATAGCACAATCGTAGGTAAAAGCTAAAGTAGCAAAATACACATTTTATGAGCATTTACTTTGTTAAAAGTAGAACAAGGCAGCTAGAAGCTAAAAGTAGCATAGGGCTATCTGAAAGCAAAACAAACAAACAAAAAAAAACATTAGCTAAAAGCTAAAGTGGCAAAAAGATAGCTAAAAGCTGAAAGTAGCAGAACATCAGCTTAAAACTAAAAGAAGGAACAAGCTAACTAAAACAAGCTTTAAACAGTGAAAGACTAGCTAAAAGTCAAATGTAGCCGAAGACTAGCTAATAGCTAAAGAATTTCAACTGAAACTTAAATAGCAAAAAAAAGATGAGAGAGAGAACATAACGCTGATTTGAGAGAACCATGTATTAGAAGGAAGTGAAGTCTAAATAAAAATATATGAAAATAAAGTTAAATATTTAAATGTCCATCCATCCATCCATTTTCTTTACCCGCTTATTCCATTGTGGGTCACGGGGGTCGCTGGTGCCCATGTCCAGCAATCACTGTGCGAGGGGCGGGATACACCCTGGACGGGTCGCAAGTCCATCACAGGGCCACATAGAGACAAACGAGACAAACAACCATTCACTCTCTCACTCACACCTAGGGACAGAGTTACCAATCAGCCTAACATGCATGTTTTTGGTCTGTGGGAGGAAACCGGAGTACCCGGAGAAAACCCACGCATGCACGGAGAGAACATGCAAACTCCACCCAGAAAGGCCCCTGGACCGGGGTTTGAACCAGGGACCTGCTCGCTGAGAGGCAGCAGCTTTACCAGTTGCGCCACCGTGCTGCCATATTTAAATGTATAAAAGTAAAAAAAATCATAGCACCCGTTTTCTAAATGAGCTTAAGGTTTTGATATAGAAATGGTTAATTTAGCTCAAGTATGTCAAAGTAGTTGGCAAAAACAACAACAACAACAAAAAACAGAAAAAGAAACAAAAACAGGAAAACAATAATATTAATACCTTATCAAAATTCACATAATAAATATAGCTTAACTTTATTTATACATTTATAATTCATCAAAACGTATATAATTCTGTCCCTTTCCTAAGCGACAGAATAATAATAATAAAAAAATAAGTTAAAATAATAACATTAAATAAACTCCGCTTTTAACAAAGTCCCCCAAAGTTTCCAGGTTGATAACTCTGTGGATGAAAATGGATTTTGGAGACTTGAAATATAAAAATAAATAATAATATATATATTAAAAAAAAAACAGGCTTATAAGCAGCTGAGCAGCTGCTTTTTAAATAGTTGCAACTTGATTTATTGTTGACATCAAAATATTGATTAGAGCAGCTTTGAGCAGACCACAGGCCCATTATTGAGCCTTCTAGTTCATTACGTTGGTTTACTGGCACATCTAAATGGAACTGAGCCATCATCAAAGTTATTAGCTACACCTGTGGCTTCTCTAAAATAATTCACCCTTGGTGAATGTTGGTGGAGCTTGGAGGACGCTAAAAACAAACAAACAGCAAAATGATTTATCATGAAACGCTGAAATGGTTCCAGCGTTCAAGTGTAGCTAAGTTTTGCTGTGAAAATAAAGGGAGTGAACCGAGGTGGATGCCAACTGGCATTTGAAATGCCATCAGTCGACATTTCACTGGTCACAGAAAATAAATTAACTTCCAGTGGCTGGTTTCTTTAGCTGCTTTCACTGTAAACACACCGTGGGTTGTCTGCAGAAACGCCTGTTGTTTGGTTGGAGTGTGGTCTCTGTGGCCAGCTTGAATTGGTTTGTGTTGATGCATCACTTAGAACATATGGAATGTGTGTCTGTGCATTGTCTTGATGCTCCTGTTCTCTGACTGTTAACTAGCCAAACACACACAGTTTTATCAGGCACCTGAACCACGCATGGTTTCACATGTACAAGCGCTTGAACGCACCACTGCTTTCATATGCTTTCTCTGTTTGCCGACTAACAATCATCCATCCTCACCCCTTCTCATCCTTCCTCCTCTTCCTCCCCCCACCCAGGTGTGTTTGACTCTCACTGCCAAGCGAATGGCCAAGAAGAACTGCCTGGTAAAGAACCTGGAGGCCGTGGAGACGCTCGGCTCCACCTCCACCATCTGCTCCGACAAGACGGGCACGCTGACCCAGAACCGCATGACCGTAGCCCACATGTGGTTCGACAATCAGGTCCACGAGGCGGACACCACTGAGGACCAGACTGGTGAGGCAGAGTTGAGATGAGATGGAGAAGGAGGGAAATAAAAAATTAAAACAGGAAATGGAGTGTTTTAGGGAATGCAGGAGGGGAGTGGGACCACCTGCTAAAATTCATCTGTCCAACACTTCCACCGCCAGCAAACATGGCTGTTCACTGTACTGCCTGGATTAATTGAGAAGTGGCATGCAGTGGGTGGCAAAACCCCACAGCTTCTCCACGGCAGGGCTGCTGCGGTGGAACCAATCGGCTTCTTCCTCCTACCAGCGAAGGAAAATTCAAGCCAAATTTTTATAAAAGCCTCCAGCAATAACCAAAATGTTTGGCAGAAAAAGAGCAGGTGTTCCATGCATACTAATGAAGTCAGTGATGCTGACACAGGCTGCTGCTGGAGGAAAACACGGTGAACTTCATTTTTCAGGACCAACCTCATCCCTGCGGTTGTTGCAGGTTGTGTCCATCATCCTGTGAGGAAAGGAGCGGTGACAGCGAACACCATGACATGCAGGCAAATATGAAAAATGAACGCAACACAGTGAAGGTCACTTTCAATTGGAGCGGGTGGGAAAGCAGAAATTTCGATACAATTTTCCTACAAGCTTTTTTTCTTTGGAGGCATTCTAGTTAAAAATGGATGCCATTTTCCAGACTGGGGAGTTGAGAAATCACTTCTGTCAAGGAAAAAAAAAACGGGGCTGTTCACCTCAAGTGGCCCTGACTCTGTTATTTAGCTACAATATCCAGAGCTACTCTGTGAACCAGGAGTTGAATAAATACTGAATGAGCTCTATGCTTAAATAAAGCCTAACACAGGTTCCTCTGCTATTCTCCCAGGTTTGGGTTTTGACAGGAGCTCTGATACTTGGGCTGCTCTGTCTCGCGTGGCTGGCCTCTGCAACAGAGCAGTTTTCAAAATCGGACAGGAGCACCTCCCCGTTCTGATGGTACGGACCTTCATCACTCACTCACATCACAACACAAGTTTTGCTAACGCTCTGCCTCGAGCTCCAGGCTCATGAATTATCTCAGCTCTCTAAAGCAGTGGGGGCACATTTGGCTTAATGCAAGGCCATTATGAGCAGGCTTTTTTTAGACATGGATCAACTAATGCATGCACATAATTCATGAGACACGATTTTGCCTACTTGGTTTGCCAGTAGGGTGAAGGTAACGACATGAGCTAAGTGTCAGGTGCGCTGCTCAGAAGAATCTTTTTAAAAGGAGTATTTGGATTCTGATTCAAAGAGGAAACACTGTCGAGTATAAACACGCCGTCAGAATCTGAAAATATGAGAAGATTTTTCTAAAAAACAAGGCTTGAACTTTTGACTTTTGCCAATCTGATTCTTCATACCTCAGTTTATTTCCCTTCAGCATGAACTTTGATTTTCACGAGTGGCTGGATCAACACAACTTCTTACTCTAAGGTGCACAATATAACTGAGTATGAAACAGAAACTTGAAAGGTATCCACTGCACCAGTTTAAAAAACTTCCTGTGGAATGTTGCAGTTTCTTCATGTTATCTTGACATTTTTTGTTCCCTCTGATTATGTCGTTTCTTTAGATACCGTATTTTACGCCGTACAGGTTGCACTGTTTTCCTTAACTTTTCCTTAATAAATGCTCTTTGATGGTCAAATCAGCTGCATTTCAAAAGCCGATACGCAGAAGTAGGCACGTGCACGGGAGGACTCGCTGTGCATTTCTTTGAAATTTAACAAGATAACCACCTAAAAACAATTATTTGTTTGCTTGACTGTATGGTAAAAGTGTGCCTCAGTCTAATTTTTACTTAATAAAAGGACTTTAACAGTCAAATCAGATGCATTTTCAAAAATATTTGCTGCCTTGGTGCTCACAGCTTGCAGACAGGGAGGAAATCAGGAAGGAGGAACACTGCATTTCTTTGAAATTTAAACAAATTTTTGTTTGCTCGACATTATAGTAAAGGTGTGTCTCAGTTGAACTTTTACTTAATAAATGCACTTTAATGGTGAAATTAGCTTCATTTCGTCGGGGCGGCGCAGCAAAATGAAGCTGATTTAGCGGTAGCTCCAGACATTTTGGACGAAGATGGAAGGCTATGGCAAGCCAATTGTGTCATTAATAGCCACTTTTACCTATTACATGATACAACAGGATGCCATACTACTCTAGTGCCATCTAGCGGCTGAAAATGGTAGTGTTCAATATTTTCAGTCAGAATGAATGAAAATGCTCATCTCTCAGTCAAAAATTGGTTTATAAATATGGGGGAAAACATAAATACGACAAGCAAATTATGCAAAAAACTGTGACTTTTAGGGTGAAAAATACAGTAATCAGTTTTCTCTGTGTGCCTTGTTAGATCTGTGCTGGTGTCATAATCGTTATTCTTGTAATTTAAGGGAATGCGGAGAAACACTCAGAGTTCTTAATTTATTTTCATGTTGTAAACTGACAAAATCTGTACATCCACTCAGTGTTCCATCCCTTGTAGTAACGAATTTAACAAATCATTATGTAATATAAGTAATAAGGGGGGTTTTCCTTTCCACTGTTGTCTTTGTGCTTGTTCAGGAAGAGAGACTGCGACGAATTGAAGATTCAACGCAATCTGTTGGTTTCCTTAGATACATAACTTTTACTAATTGGCTTTCAAGTTCAAGTTCAAGAATCTTTATTATCTCCAAGGGGCAAATTGTTTCACAGTCAGTAGGCACACAAAACATCCATACTAGACAAGACATTAAAACATTAAAATAACAGTACAGAAATTATCATTATTTGTTGAGAAGCCTGATATCTACAGGGATGAATGAGTTTTTCAGTCTGTTTGTTCCACATCTGGGCAGCAGATACCTGCGTCCAGATGGAAGCAACCTGAACTCACCATGGAGTGGGTGATCGGGATCTGCCAGAATCAGCCTGGCCTTGTTCACTGACCTCACGTTGTGTAGGTCAGTGAGGTTCTGCAGGACTATGCCAGCAGTTTTGCTGCACATCCTGACAATCCCTGAGAGTTTGTTCCTGTTTTTGCATGTCACAAGTCCAAACCAACAGAAGAAGGTGAAAGCAGAGACTAAAAAAAAACCTGGATAAAGGATTCTCATAAAAGTAGACTCAACACTAAAATCACAGAGCTTCTCATAAAAATACATTCTCTGGTGGGCCTTCTTACAACTGATTTACTGATGGACTTCTATAAGTGATTGTTTTTGTTCAGAGCCCTGAGATGACTTCTGTTGAAGCATCACTTTATATAAAATAACTAAAGTTAAACTGAATTAATATACAGTAGAAGATCTGGTCATTGTGCACAAAAATAGGTTTCAGTAAAAAAAAAAACAATCTGCACGCGGCATTATATTTTATACGTTTAAATATGAATATCTGTGCATGTGCTAGTTATCGCTGCTTTCCTATTTTATCTACTTTACACGAACACAATTTAAAACTTTTCATTTTAATTTCATTATTTTAAACAGCTTTTCTAATAATTTTCTCATGACTCTGAACAGGACAAAATGTGTGCAAAGCATGGATGGATAGATCGATGGATGGATGGATAGATGGATGGATGGATGGATGGATGGATGGATGGATGAATGGATGAATAGATGAATGGATAGGCAAATGGATAGATGGATGGATGAATGAATGGATGGATGGATGGATGATGGATGGATTGATGGACAGATGGAGTCATTCAACCTTTATTTAGACAGGGAAATCCCATTGAGCCCCGAGGACTCATTTACAAGAGAGACCTGATTTCAACAAAGAAAGATGACAACAATGAAGAACAGCAACAACAATAAACAGCCACAAAAAGGCACACAGATTTTTTTTTTTTTACAAATAAGATGGCTAAAAAAGAAGTAACAAAAACAGCTAGATTCTAAGGCGAATGTAGAAAACTAAAAACAGGAACATGTCTGCATTGGTCCCTGCCAGGAGTCCAACAGATTCTTAAAGACACTTAGAGAGGTCAAGGTCGAGACCTTCAGATCTTTTTGTAAGATATTCCAGGAAACAGGAGTGGAGTAGGAGAAGGCCCTTTTGCCTAGTTCAGTCCTCACTGAGGGAACACTGCAGGTAATGATGTCCTTGGAGCGCATGCTGTAGCTGCACTCACGCAGAGACAAGTAGGAAGAGATGTATGAAGGCAGCAGACCAAGAAGTGATTTAAAGATGAAAATGTACCAGTGAGAGAGTCTGCGTGAGGTTAATGATGACCAGTTAACCAGTGAATACTGGGTGCAGTGGTGGGTACGATAATCACAGCCAGTTATGAATCTTAGTGCACCATGATAGACAGCATCCAACATCTGCAGGGTTCTTGTAGGAGCGTTCATGTAAATATTGTCACCGTAATCAATTGAGGGAAGGAAAGTCACAGATACAAGGTGTTTTCTAGCATTCAGTTAGACAGGATCTGTTTCTGAAAAAGAAACCCAGTTTAAGTTTCAGTTTCTTTACCAAGTTTTCCACATGGAGCTTAAAAGAGAGTGTGAGTCGACCAAGATACCCAAATATTTATAGGAATCAACAAACTTAATAGGGACACCATTTGAGGATGAAATCAGAGGAAGAACTGCTGGGACCAACTTCCTGTTTGAAAAAAACATCCCTTTGGTTTTATCGGCGTTTAGGACAAGTTTGAGACGGAACAAATCTGACTGGATGATGTTGAATGCAGATTGCAAAAGCTGGAAAGCCTGATGGATGGATGGATGGATGGACAGACAGATGGACAGATGAATGGATAGACAGATGGATAGATAAATGGATAGATGGATGGACGGATGGACGGACGGATGGATGGATGGATGGATGGATAGATGGACAGATGAATGGATGGATGAACTGATAGATGGATGGACAGACGGATGGATGGACAAATTGATGGATGGACAAATGAATGGACGGACAGATGGATGGATGGATGGATGGACAAATGGATGATGGATGAATGATAGATGAATGGATGGACAGATGGATGGATGGACGGACAGAGAGACGGATGGATAATGGATAGATGAATGGATGGATGGAAAGATGGATGATGGATGACAATAGATGGATGGAAGGATGCATGATTTTATTAACTGATTAAACTCTCAATCTGACCGTCAAGTTGCTCAATAATGAAATTATTTCAACTGTTATGAGTTCAAAGGTCATCTAGTTTTAAGTTTATTAAACTCATAAAAAAATTAAAACTGAAATTAGATTTTAAAAATGCAGTAAAGAACCTGGATTAAAGACAATAATCTGCCTCTGCTACTTGTTATCAAATGAGTACATAAAGCAGGTGATTTCTGTTGTAGCTTTTTGAAAGACATAACCAAAATCACTTCATGCATTTTTCATTTTAGAGCCCAAGTAATAAAAATAAAACCACAACATTTTCTGCACAATAACGACTTAGAGCTCAGTTTGAAACACCGCACTGACACGCTCAAATAATCCCTTTTCACTCATGGAATGAAATGTGAGCGCAGAAGCAAATACTTTGATTTTACTTCTGTGGTCGGCCAGTCCCACGTGGCAGTCACGGTGAGGAAGCATAAAGAGCGTAAAAACATTTGTCAGTTCCACTTGACAAAGGTGCAACGAACACACACCGGCTCGCATGCGTAACCTTGTTCTCTCATATGAACACACACAGAGAAAATAATCCGATACACTCCTGGAAATAAGTCCCTCACACTGACCCATAAACACACACCGCTGAGTGGGTGAGTCAATATTACCCCGGCCTTCTTCCAGCCGCTCCTCTAACCTGAGGGAGCTCAGTGAGATTACAGCTTCTGTGATGGGAGAAGGCCCTCTGCTGAAGCATTTCTGCGTCCTCCCTGCAAAACAGATGTGTCTCTTGACGGCACTCAACGGTGACGGCGCCACCCATTATTAAAACAAGTCCCTGTCCGCGAGCGTGAGGACCGAGAAATGGAACTTCCTCGATCTGTTTATTCATTCATGAAAAGGCCCAAACAAGGACGAACGTTGCAGAGCCCGTGTCCTTGTTTTTACGGCTGTTCATGAATGAATAAACAGAAACAAAGAGAAATTTCTTGTCTCGGTCCGACTCCCGCTTGCGTTTTTGCCGACAGGTCATCAGTTCAGTATTGATTTAAATAAACTGGCTCAAAGGGTTGCCGTTATCACAAATTTGTTATAAAAATGGATGTTTATTGATTTTCAAAAACTAAAATTCACCCTGAATTGTTTAAATACTATAAGCAACTTTGTAACATAAGCAGATCATACCATTGGTTGATTCTCTAACTATCTTTTAGCTCTGAGGCAATGTGTTCAACATAATGGTATTTCCTCCATTTATTTAACAGTTAACAATGGTGTACCACAAGGCTAAGTCTTAGGACCCAGCCTCTTTACAATCTACATAGGTAATGTAGGTCAGAGCATCCCTGATGCATCTTTACATTTCTATGCTGATGACATAGTTGTTTACTGTCGAGCTACAACAGTTGCTAAGGCTTTCCAGCTTTTGCAATCTGCCTTTGACATCATGCAGTCATCTCAAACTTGTCCTAAATGCCGGTAAAACCAAAGGGATGTTTTTTTCAAACAGGAAGTCGGTCCCAGCAGTTCTATCTTTGATTTTATCCTCAAATGGTGTCCCTAATGAGTTTGTCGATTCCTATAAATATTTGGGTATCTTGGTCGACTTGCATCTCTCTTTTAAGCTTCACATGGAAAACCTAATAAGGAACTTGAAAGTTAAATTGCGTTTCTTTTTAAGAAATAGATCCTGTCTGACTGAATGCTAGAAAACACCTTGTAACTGTGACTTTCCTCCATGGATTACGATGACATTATTTACATGAATGCTCCTACAAGAATCCTGCAGATGTTGGATGCTGTCTATCATGGTGCACCAAGATTCATAACTGGCTGTGATTATCGTACCCACCACTGCACCCAGTATTCACTGGTTAACTGGACATCATTAACCTCATGCAGACTCTCTCACTGGTACATTTTAATCTTTAATCACTTCTTGGTCTGCTGCCTTCATACATCTCCTACATGTCTCTGCGTGAGTGCAGCTACAGCGTGCGCTCTCAAGACATCATTACCTGCAGTGTTCCCTCAGTGCGGACTGAACTTGGCAAAAAGGCCTTTTCTTACTCCGCTCCTGTTTCCTGGAATATCTTGCAAAAAGATCTGAAGCTCTCGACCTTGACCTCTCTAAGTGGCTTCAAACATTTGTTAAGTTCCTGGCAAGAACCAATGCAGACATGTTCCTGTTTTTAGTTTTCTACACCGCCTTATAATTTAGCAGGTTTTTTTTTTTTCCGCTACTTTTTCCTTATGATTGTCCTTTTGGTTGCCATTTTATTTTAATTTGTAAAAAAAAAAAAACAAACAAAAAAAAGTATGCCTCTTTTATGATTGTCTATTGTTCTTGTTGTTATCCACTGTTGTCATCACTCTGTTAAAGAAATCAGGTCTCTCTTGTAAATGAGTCCCCGAGGCTCAATGGGATTAACCTGTCTAAATAAAGGTAGAATGAAAAGGCAAAAATATTCAAAACTGAAAGCAAAGTGCTTTGTAGGAATAAACAAGATGCAATATTCCTGTGACTCACTGGATGTCTTATTTGTGCAAATCCTTTATCAAAAAACTAATTTTGCGGGTCGTATTCAAATGCATCTACTTAAATCTGCCTATTTGAATAGGATCCGATATTGCTTGGAAGATATGTTGAGGCCATTTAGCTGATTTGTTTCAAATAAATTATTATTTTGTCGATTCATATTGGAAACATTAAGGGTTTTTATGTACTTTTATTACTTCAATATTAATTTTAGTTTAAAAACCTGCTACAGCTTGTGACCAAATCACAAGGACTGGAAATCCAGGTGATGCTGCGCTGCCTGCATCAGTGATAGAAGTGATGAAAAAGTCATCAAATGCGTTTTTTTTTTAAACGTAATTGAAAAGAAACGTTTTCCTGTGCTGCCTCGTCATTAACAGTACGACTTTCAGAAATAAACATCTAAATGTGAGTGACTGTGCTAATGTGACTCTGTGTCTGTTTCCCCAGAGGGACACGGCAGGAGACGCGTCGGAGTCGGCCCTGTTGAAATGCATCCAGGTGTGCTGCGGGAGCGTCAGTGACATGAGAGCAAGGAACCCCAAAGTGACAGAAATCCCCTTCAACTCCACCAACAAGTACCAGGTAAAAACAAGTTTCTGCTGGAGCTGCTGCACAAAGTCAGGCAAAGTCAGTCAAAGTAATGCTGCTCTTGGCATTTTGTTTTTAAATTTTATAAAATAATAAATAAAAATAAAAACCCATTAAAGTCTTGTAAATTTGCATTTGGCTTGCTTCGGGGGAATTCACATCTTATTTTGTCCAACCAACAAACTTAAAAACAGAAAAACATGCATCGGTGTAGACTAAAACTGGAAAATGGTTTTGAAAAGATTGCCAATAATTTACCATCACAAGGACTGATCACCTGATTGGTTCTGATCTTGATGCACCATGATGCAGAGGATAAAACACCTCTTCTTTCACCTGCTGCATTTACCTGTGGCCACATCTGCTCACCTGCCTCTGTCTCACCAACCTGCCTCCACTACATCCAAACAGTGTATCCGTTTTCCTCTTTGCTCTTCTTCCTGGTAGTACAGAATGTAACATCCTTTGTCCTATACAGTACATCCACAGTAAGTCTGCTGCACGTGTCCAAACCATCTCAACCTCACCTATCAGAACTTCTCTCTTCATAGCTCCACCTCTTCAGGGCTCTCTTTCATTGAAATAACAAGAGTATCACATACGGCACATTACACGCCCGTTGACAAACTGTCACTGCACTAAAACCATGGATATACGGTGCGATCCGATGTGGTGATATCTCCGTATTCTTCACATATACGTACAATTTCCGGGAAATTCCGTATCGCATCCCCGGCAGATTCAGTTTTCGGATATCCCCGTATACGGACACAAATGGATCCTAAAAAAATCCCAAAATCCGGATACTTATCTGCGGCAGATCCCGAAAATATGTGACTCTGTTATCCCTCGGGATTCCAGCTTTAGATCTCTTTGCATTCTTGCCGCATCTTTGACGTATGGTTGGTTTCAGATTCATGCATATACGTGACTGATGTCTGTCGGATATTTACAGATTTTTATCTGCGAAGGATCCTGAAGTATGCGATCCCTCGGAGTTCCAGCTTCAGATCTCGTTGCATACTTGCTGCAT